GCTCTGGCCACAGCTGGACAGGCCAGATGTGACCAGAGCAGTGGTAACTGCCTCCCCTTTAGTCAACAGCAGCTTTGTTTAAGGCCTGACTCACAGCTCTGGTGGTTATTGGGGCACTTTTGCATTTTTTTTAGAAATCACCATTCTTCGTGGCAGGTGGCCACGGACAGAGCCCCGGGGCAGCGATCCCTGCCCTCCCCATCACGCGGGCAGGCAACCAGCCCACGCAAGTGGTCAGAAAGGACGGATGAGAAAGCTTAGGCTTAGTGTTTCTTCCCATGAAATACAAAAAAACATTGTCAAGCCTACCTATACTGCTTCTACTTCACTTCCCAACAGATTATTTACTACAAAATACACTGCCAAGTCAATCAAATGTTAAAACGCAGACTGTGTGGTACCAATTTCTGCAGATTTGTCTTCTAGGGTCTGGTGTCAGTATATTTAACTTCTATTATTGTCCCTCCTAAACAGTGTTCTGGGATAAAAGCTTTCTTGGATAGGAAGTTGAACAGGTCACAGTCAAAAGGATTTATTGTTTTCAACTATCCTCATGATCAATATATATTTTACAGACGTACTGGAAAAATCAGTCAGGAATGGTTAGAGACATCTCTCTCCGTAAAGAAAGATCTGCTGTCCTGGCTCGTTAACATCCTGAAGCAGCACTGTGATGGTCTGCAGGAGCCTTAGAACAGTGGGGCTCGTGCTTAAAACAACACCACTGTCCAGTTCTTCCAGTTCTCAGATCACTGCCAATAGCTGCAGACTCCCGCACTTGCCCCATGACCCTTTCATTGCTGGGAATCAGCAGACTATTAAAGGGAATCGACTCCAATACGGTGCTTTTTTCCCCAAACAGAATGTCTCGAGTCAGTAATAGTAAAACTCTTCAAATACATTTATTTGTCACCAATGAAAATACTGTACAATGCCCAAGAAAAGGGAGAGGGAAAGGCAATGAACTAGGACTGGCTTTCATCAATGTCTTTGTCTGGATCCACCTCGGCAGCTTCGCTCTCCTGTTGCTGTTTCTTCCAGAGTTTGGCCATAGCAAGTAGTTTGAGATTAGGCTGATTGGCAGTATCTTCTGGGAAAATATAATCATAGTATTCCTCCCAGCCAGCATCAGACTAGGGAAAAAAAGCAGCACAAAGCAAGTTTAATTTGTATGTTAATGTTAGCTGTGAGAAGGTGCTTCTAATAAGAATGAGATAAAACTATAATCAATGCTTGTTACACCACCCATAGCAGAGGAAACCAGTGAGCCGAACGGGTGTAAGACAGCACTACTGGTGCTGTGTGTAACAGGCAGGCAGATCTGACCAGCAGCCTGGCTGCAGTTTCCCAAACAAAGCGAAGACACAACCCCCCGCACAGCGCTGCCCGCTTCGATTTGTCTGTACAGAGCTGAGAGCACAGGCAGCGTGGGCACCCGGTACGAGCGTTCCGCTCCGCGTCAGCTGCCCACGCCGGCGCCGCGGGGCACGGCGCTCCGCAGCACGCGTCTCAGGCCCATGCTGTTTTCCAACTACTGCAGTGCAATCCGTCTGCAGTTACAGCACCCACCGCAGCCCACCTCGTGCTGGGTACCCGACCCCAGCACAAAGCCACCAAGGATTCCAAGTGACTACCTGCCTAATTTTCCCTCTTACCCCATCTTCAGCCTGCAGTTTTCTCCTTTTCTTTATTTTTTCAGGCATAAGTTTATCTATCCTCTCTTTAGTGGTGTCGGTTCCAAACTCCTCTTCAAAGTTTCTCCAGGATTCCAGAAGCATGACTCTCTCCTCCTTCTCCTCACAGTTCCGCATTGCCTTATTAGCCTCCTCGTAAATCTGCCGGCATCTTGACAAACTCTCCTCCCTTCTTGCAGAGAGCTCGAACTGTGCAAAGCTGATCCACACCTGTGGGGAGAGCAAACCAAACCCAAGCTGAAACCTCCCTTCTGAAGTCTGATAGCTAAGTGATAGTCTAAAAAAAAAAAAGCAGCCAAAAAATCAAATGCCAATGTAAGTCTAAAGTACTTTTCCATAAGCAGATATCTAGAAAATCCATGTCTGTTTCACATGTGTGAGATTTGCCTCATTTTGGCAAGACAGAACATCCACGTGAGCCACGCTGACAGATTTCTGTGGTTTCGGGTCATGATAAATCCACCTGAATTTAGTCAAATGACAGCACCAAACTACATTGGAAAAATCACAACTATTGTTTCCTTGCAATGTTTTTGCAACTAAAATTCCAAAGCTACTCAGCAAAACAGGAAGAGGGCTACTTGGAAAGCTTCTGCAAAGCCTTCTTTCTTGTAAGATAAGCTTGGTGCTACACGTAATTCAGAAATTTCTTTCGCCTTTTCACGGCGCAGACACAGTACTGAACCTGGGCTCGCGGTGGATTTGGAACAGCCGCACAATCAAAGCATTCAAGGGTTTCCATCCAGCACGGACCAGATGCAAAACCCATTCTGTGCTCTGGGTACCCATGCACACCTTAACATGCTGTGTCCGCTGAAGCAGCCTGCGGTAAAGATTCCTTGTTTTCTCATACTCTTCTTGCTCAATTTCAAAGTCAATGTAGGATTTCCAAAGAACCTGGAAAGAGAAGTCTCTCATTACGTTCCTAGCACACTGAGATAATGGGGGGGAAGGAAAAAAAGGAAGAGGAACATGGATAAATGTGAAATTTCTCCGAAAAAAGTTTGAGAGCTGAGGATTTATTGACTGTACAAGGCAGGATTACGACTAAGCAGTATCAAATCTTGGGCACAAAATCCATTTAGCTTATTCCTGTCAGCATGTTTCTCCCTCCACGTTTTATCGCGGGTTTATAGCCCTGCACACCCTGCCAAGAAACAGATGCCAAATTAACGAGACGCAGGCTAAGCCACTACGGTGAGCAGTTCTGTTCAAGCTGGCAGGTTATTTCCACTTTAATTAGCCACACTGTGTAATAAATACCTGAAAATTGTGCCAACCCTTACCTCTGGCATGTCGAGCCGGGGCTGGCCGATAGCCAACTCATATATTGCACGGGCTCTATCGATGTCGCCAAGAATGGTCTCTAGTTCAGCAAATTTAATCCATGACGTGCAGTTCTCCGGTGCAAACTCCAGGAATTTTTCATACAGCTTTCGGCAGCGATCAAATTCTCGCAGTTGTAGCTCCAATTCGATATAACCTTTGAACAGTTTGTTTTTCGGACATTTACCTATGGAGGTCCCCTGTTAAGCAAAAAAACCCAAAACCCACTTAAAGATCTTGCAAGGAAAACAAACTCACTATTTTCTAAACATGTGTTTACTCCCCAGTATTTGAACTAAAAGCCATTTTTGAGCACAGCTTGTTTTTTAAGACTCTGGTCAGGGCCAGCATGAAACCCAACCGATGTTTGCAAAATAAGCCTGAATCCATAAACATTGACAAAAACTCTGAAAACACAAAAGCCTTCTCACTTGTTACATTTTCACATGATATGGAGTCTCCACAAAGTACTAGTTGAAACTCACCCTGGCTCATCAGATGAACACTTCATCTTGCATCAAGAGCTCGTGAAAGCACAGTCTGTACCAGCCTTGGAGGTGAGCAGTTCCCAAGTATCTCATAAAAAAACTTGTATCAGGAGAAACTCTCTCCCAGACCACCACTGCTATTCACTGCTGCGCAGAGAACTGTCCACACCCCCCCTGCCTGCCCACTTACGGCAAGGGAGGGAGGGAGGGAGGGATGGAGAACAATGTTTGTAAAAGATACTTCTTTTCCAATGTGCTTCAGCATCTGAAGAGCACTGTCTGTCCTGAGCCACAGTGCCAAGTTGTGAGAAAGCAGGTTCCGATTCTGAATTTGGGAATCTTTTAAGGCAAGAGCTAAGAACGGGCACATCTGAGACAGGTATGTAGTGAGCTTCATTCTGACTCACTTCTGGAAACAAGTATTATTTATTAAGCACTGTAGCCTCTGTTGCCGTGAGCTAAAGTGAATGAAACAATCTGAGATCAAATTCCCTTACTACAATTCTCCTGCACAACTTTCCTACACGTTGATTATCTTGGTGCTTATTAAAAATGCAGGAAAGCATCACTTGGGAATATCAATTTGGTCACCATTATGGCCCCTCAGCTCTAAAAATGCATTTTCTATTTCAAAATATGCTCGGTTCTTCCCCAGACAACCCCCATCACTGCTTTCTTAAGCAGCACAGGCTCCAGCTGATCTCCTGTATCCGTGTCCCAGCATCTCTCAGACCCTGGGAAAACAAAGAATCCCCACAACACCTACAGCCAGTGACAATAAGGCAAGGCAAGGTGCTGGCTGCACGCTGATGAGACCTACAGCACCAGGGGCTGGACCTTCTCTTCTGCATGGAGACAGCACGGGACCCTCACCTCGGGACAGGAGCAAGGCTTCTTGCCAAAGAGGTGGTTCAAAGTCAACTCATTGCAAAAGAAAGAAAGAAACTGCTTGTCAAATCTGGGTCTTGTCCAAAAAAGTATTATGGCTGCAGCAGCAAAATCTGGTTTCCAAAATAAGAAAAAGGTGACTTACTAATAAAAAAAGTCTGTCAAAGAAATTAAACAACAACAGGGAAAAAGACCAACGAAAGAGAAGCCTAAAAGAAACTGAGGCAACTTTGTACTCCTAGGCAGCCAAAGCAGGCTTTCCAGAACTTGCCACAACATCCACCCCGAAAAAAGGGCAGCCAGGGTGCTGACTGGTGACTATGGTGACTATGGTCATTCATGCCCAGTGGCGTTGTTTTAAGCTGAGGGAGAACAGCAGCACACTTCAGGACAGATGGTGTCTCCTCCTGCAGGGAGACAGTAACAGTCTCACAGGGGAATTAACCCCTCCGCTTTGTTTTTTTCTGGCCACGGGCAGGAGTCCAGCTCAAGAGACAAATACCCATTATTAGCACGGGTGGGGGGAGACTCGGTCCAGTATCAGCTACTGGAGACCATTCACCTTCACACTTTTATCACCACTGTGCCACGGGTTTGGTGGAAACGTCAGCAGTTTCTTCCTTAAAGTCAAATCACCTCAACGTTACCAATATTAGCTTTCTCTCTGAATTCCTAACGCTGTCACTGAGCTTATCCAGAATATCTGAAGGGGTATCTGCTCAATTTGGCAGATCTTCACTTCTGAGAGTCAAACACGCCCCTTTATTTATTTAAAATGCTTCTTAAAGCACTATTGTTAGTGCAAGTATCATTTAAAAACGTCAGCAGCAGTTAAAAACTTCCAAGTGCACTAAGCTGCTTTGGGAACTCCGGCATTCAGGCGTGTGTTTTGTCAGCTGGAAGGAGAAAGCGGCATTTGCTCCTGCCCGTGGCCAATTCATCACACCAAGCCACGCTTCTTTTTAAATCATACATGACAGTAAACGCTGGTCCCTGCAGACTTCTCCGATGCTTTATTTAAGTGGATTAAACCAGCCATTCATAAAGGACAATTTAAGATCTTTTAATGCCATTCCCTTGTTACTATTAGTCAGGAAAGTCAATTACAGAAGTAACAAAAGCTTACCAAAGCTCTTCTGGCAAGGGGAAGATTTTTCTGGCGTATTTCAAACTGCGCATACAGCAGCCATATTTTGGCAAACGTAAACTGAAAGAAAAAGAACAACGTGATGCTTAGGCTGGAAGCTTCGTGAATAATACTGCGTGTGTTCTTCAAAAAACAAGCACTCTGTTTGTACAAGATGCTGCTGCAGTTACTTGCATTTGGTCTCGATGTTTTTCTGCCAAAAAAATGAGAGTTCATAACCCAAACCAACCTCTCTAGAACAGGACAACATACCCCACCACTGACACATTCAAAAATGCTCAGGATAGAAGTCTTCTCAAAGAAATAAACCAGTTCATTAACCAAGCAATTGCTTGGTAAAATAGCAGCTATCACTGAATCAATTAGCAGCTAATCAGCTCTTAATAATTACAGATTAATCCTCATCTACACAGCTGATACTCAGATGACATGATTAACTACAAACACAAAAAGGAAGTACATGAACTAAGATTTCTTGACATTCCAGGGCAATGCTGATTAATTGTTTTAAGGGTTTGGCCACATGGGTATTTTAGTTAAAGCTCACTGGCAAAAAAAAACCCAAAACCAAAAAATTAGTCTTGAAGACCGATTTTAATGGGGAATACACACCTGAAAGATGGTTTATCAAATGCACCTCCCTCAGCTGGGACTGTGCAGACAATTAGCAACAGTTGCTCTCAAAGGGGGTAACCCCATACAAAAGAGAGCAGTAAGTATTCTGTAGGAACTATGGGCAACCAGGCTGAGAGCAGCTATAAAGGACCAACCTAAAGAAGGAAGCAAGTAAGCAAACAACAGGTAAGAGTTCTTCACTGCTAGTTAATGGTACTGGATTATCCTCTGACTATGTGTTATTTCAGCTTCTTATAGCATGCTTAGTAATTTGAAAATACTGGAGAAACCCTTATGCTGCATCTGTATGATGAAATCTACTCTCAGTGCGTGGAAGATTGAAAGATAGACGTTACAGCGAACTGGAAGGGATACTTAGTCTTGAGCAGGGTCTTCATGAACATGCTAGTAACCATTTGGAGTTGCTTACACACCTGAACCTTGGGGGGAAAGAAAACAAAAGGATCTGATCTTTGGCATGTTAATCCAAGACTCAGTACAACCTGCTGGAGGAGCCATACCTTCTTGTGGGGCAGGAGCTCGATACATGCCTGGTACACTTGTCTGGTTCGCTCCGCATCCTGGAAAAACAGGCAAAATCAAATACTTTGCTCACTGTTAAGATTATGCTACATTCTGAATTGTGCAATGACTGCAAAACTGCAGAACAGTGTTTTTCAGTCAAGTTGTTTAGAATCATGTAGACTTAAGATCTAAATGTACTTATCTACTTAACTCAAAGATGGTAACAGCTGAGAATCAGTAAGAGTCATCCTTTTTGAACCAAGATTCAAACCCAAGAATTAGACAATAAAACTAGAAGTGTCCCCATTTTGAGGGGGGGAAAAAAGTATTTTTTCCTTTAAGAGCCACTGAATAGGAATACTGCACTACAATTTTAGGAAATAAAGAGTAGCTTACACAACTGGTAACAGAAGAAATACTTGCACAGCCTCAAAATGCCACCATAGCAAGAATTTGACTGTTTCACAGAACAACTTCACAAATAGCTTTGTTAAATACAAAACTATTTCACAAGTTCAGGTAACAGTCTGGAACAGGTGGTTCAGATGGGGCTAGAAAGACCTACTTCTGCTTTCATTATCAGTGTGTTTCCGGATGAACTGGCGTAAAACTGCAATATTTTTTCCCCTTATGCATGGCAGGGGAAAAATGAAGGGGAAAAAAAACCCCATACTTAAATAGCTACAAACTCCTGTAGCATACATAACACGAGAGACATAGTATTTTCAGTTCTCAGTTTTCTTAGTAAAATATCTGTAGCTATTTAAGGAAAACACTTGGGAAGGAAAGAAAAAAAAACCTGGAGCTCTTACAACTTGCCTTTGCCTCCAGCTCTTCATACAATGCGTAGTTAATCCAAAGATAGATGTATCTTTTCCAGTGTCTCTTCTCTTGAATGGGGGGAACGTTGGCGATGGCTCGCTCATACACTTCTCTGACCGTCTCGGCATCTGCGTCGCTCTCAACCAGCCTCAGGTAGTCAAACCACGCATCGTAATTGTGTGGGTTTGCCTTCCAGGGAGATGGGAGCAAGGAAACGGGAAAGAAACTTCAGTAACTACAAATAACAGACGCTGTTCCTTTACTTACAGTTTTTGCTCAGAATTTCTCCTTTAGAATAGATCATTAGAATATTAATGCAAACTATCAGTCCTAGCTGTGCTTAAGCTAGAGCTTTAGGGGTTAAAGTGCACTTATTTCTTTTTTTATATTACCTACAAACATACTGTAGTGAAGGCGAGCAAAGGGAACTGTGAGACGGGAAGAGGAGCTGATGACACACGCAGCATTTAGTGAACAGCAGACCGGTGTGGCACACCCGTTTTCTCAAGAATGGTATTTGCACACGGTTACTGTAACAGTTACTCCACAGCAGAAGTGAAGAAGTAAGTTTCAAGCTAAACTGCGTCATCCCTGAAGGTGACTGTGAAGGGTACCAAGCTCCGAGTTCAACGAAAAACTTTGGCCCCACAATCTACGTTGGAATGCAGAAACAAGAGAGCAGTGAATGCAAGTGTCGTCCTTGCATCCCACGGATGGAACCCTGCCTCCAGAAAGAACAGTGTTCTCGTGGTGTTTTCTCGGACTGAGCACCAAAGGTAACATCAAACTCATCAGCCTTCGTGTCACGAGAAGCAAACGTACCTTAAGCAGCAGCTGGACGTGCGATGAGCCCAGAGGCTATCTGTCATACGTACCTTCACCTCCTCTTCATACTGGAACCTCCTCTTGCTGACAATGATGTCTTCAATTCCCCTTCTGTCTCCAAACTTCTTCTCGAAGATGGTGTAATTCTTGAAGAGATTTTGGGCGTCCTGTTTCGGAATTCTATCCAAGGCGTACTTGTAGATCACCCTTACTCTTTCGAACTGAAAATATTAAACGTAATTTGAGTAACATTTACCAAGTTGCTTCTGTCCTCCCGCACAATTTCTCAAAGAGCTCTTGGCAGTATTTCACAGAGTACAGAACCACAGAATACCTTAATGTGATTGTTTTAGGATAGGACTAACACAGAACTCCCCGAACTTTCGGGGGGAAAAAAAATAATCCGTAAACACCAAAACCCACCATCTCTTATTCATTTACAGGTTTGGAATGTTTGAAATATTTTTTTAAGAGGTCATAATTTTGGGCTTGCAGAATGTTTTTCAATTCCTTAATGGCCTGGGCACTTTAAAGAGACCATCTGGGAAAAATGTGGCTAATTCAGTTTTTTATCATGCAGGTCTGCAACCTCTCAGAGACTTACAAATCTGAGGGGATGCATTTGATCTGAGGACACTGTTCTCGGGCTTGGCAGATTGGGTGCCCACCTGCCTTAGAACATATTTCCTTGATGTCACCAAAAGGCAAACGGAAGCTCAGCAAAAAATTGTCTCCTTAACTCAGACTACAACAACAGTACCTCATAAGGTGCTGAAAAACACAAGTACTGCAGTGAATGTCAAGTAGCCTGGAGTTTGATATTCAAGAAGAAATCTGGTGAGGGTGGTTCGTGTTAGTCTGATGTATCATCAAGAAGGTCTTACTTCTTTCTGGTTCTCCTCAAATTTGGCAAAAGCCACGTACAAGTGCTCGTTCATGTGCTCTTCTCCAAAGAACTCCACTGCCCGCTCGTACACCTTCCTTGCATGAGCAAAGTAGCTGTGCTTCTCCTCAAAGCGGGCGTACTTGATCCAGTTCTTCACATCAGGATGAACAATCACGAGTAGAGCTATGTTAAAGAAGCAGCGGGGGTTGAACTGGACATTTCAAATTGCCTTCCTCCCATGACTATGGGGTCGTGGACCGTATGGAACAACGACCAAGGATGGCATATGCAAAAAATACAACTGGGAAGAAGACACATGACAGCTCTAAGCATACAAAGGCTTTGTGCCTTACTGCGAACTTAAAGAAAATTTAAAAAGAGAGAAAAATCAGGCAAGGGTCAGGCAGAAGTTTAAGAAGGAGAAATTTGAAACAAACGATGACTACAGGAAAGCTGGGAGCATGAGTGCTGTTAAATATATGCTCTTGTGAAGGATGCACATTCACTTCACTGAATTTGGGGCATATACCAAAAATCCTTCTAATACCTACTGCTGGTTCTCAGCACAGTGGCTTACTCCCGACACACAGCAGTAAGAGGGAGCACAGGGACATAGCTGGAGATAGGACAGGTGAGAAAGAAATGAAGAATGCAGGCCTAAACTTGGGCAATGTGCTGAAAAGGATATATCTCTCATAAATGGTACGTGCCCTGTCCACTTCCTTGTATCTCAGCTCGAAGTTAATGTAGGAATGCCAGGCTTGCTCCTCCGGCTGCCACTCCATCCAACGCTCAAACACCTGACGTGATCCAGCGACGTTCCCCAACATCTCTTCCATGTAAGTATACTTATACCTTAGCAAACGAGACCAAGTTTTTACAATCA